CTTTTTATCCAAGCACACTGAGTGCTTTTCATATATTAAGAAACGCTGACTGCAATAAGCTACTATTCATTAAGAAGTCTTCTGTGCACAGGAAACTCACAATATATTATTTAGAAGAATAATTCCCTTTCTTTTTTTAGTTTTTAAAGCTAGACATGGGTAAGTACTACTTCCTGAGATAAATGGCCTTTAAATTAGATGACACAAAGAAGAACACAGAAGAAAAGTTCTGTTTCTTTACAAAGGCAATGCACAACCATATAAGACCCCTGGCACCTACACAGCTAATCCTGTTCTTGGAAGGGTTACATTCATGTAATAATTCTGTCCTGCTAAAAACTGGGTTGTCCCTAACCAGGGCTATTTAGCACACAGACTTCAACATAATGAAGGCTGTAACTTTATAGGGAGTTGGAGCAGTCTGCAGTACCGTGAGCGGTGCATTCCTGAAACTCTCCTATACCAGTGTAATGTCAACAGAAAAGGCTGAGTGGTGATGTAATGTCTGAGGGCATGCCAGAGTCAAGACACTTTTTGTTTGATTCACAGGGTACAAGTTATTTCTCCCCACCCCCGCCTTTTTTAAAGCAGGCAATAGGCAGTTGATTTTACAGCTACAAGGGTTATAGAGCCTCACATTATCTGCACAGTGAAAAAAAGGAAAGAGCTGATAGCATTCATCATTGTGACACAGGCAACAATTCTTGGGCAAGAAAAGCTTCTAGTCTATTTTAGTTTGGAGGGCGGGGTTGTTTTGTGGTTTTTTTGTGGGTCTCTTTGCTGCTGCCCATCACCCTGGCCTCTGAGGCTCCTACACTTAAAAATGCATTTGGGTACCTGAAGCCCTTCCATACTTCCTGTATCCTCAGATCCAAGAAGATACTTTCCATAGCAGTCTAGCAACTAAAAATCCTTAGTATTTAAATAACATTTCCCAAATTCCAATGCTGACAAGAATGGAAACTCCCCCAGTACCCTGACACAACTTGAGCTTCTCATAGATTTTATGATTTGTATGTAAACACACCAGGGTAAAGTCAGTGGGAGTTGGGTGCATAAATAAACTGCCTTTAAAATCCTGGGCCTGGATGCCTGTACCAGAAGGATGGATAAATTATGCTCTCACATAAATCTCTACAGCCAACAGCTGAGAGTCATGCTTGATCCATCTAGCCTATCTTATCCTTCCTCCCTTCCACAGCTCTATGACTCAAGTGAGCTCCTGGATAACGCAAATGGCATACAATTTTGAACACGTTTATCTACCAACATCAGAGCTCTCCTACAAAGGAAAGAAAAATCGGTGTCATGTGAATGAGGTCATTACACTCATGACATGGACAAAAGACAGAGTTCTGAGAAGAGTAAATGAAGACAATTATAAATGGGTGCAAATAAAACACCAGCTAAACATTGCCTCTCAAGTTTTGGTAGTTTTAAGAAACAAGAAAAGTCTGACTCTGGCATTTCTAGGAAAAATGCTTGCATATACTGTTCACTGATCTTCAAATCAGTCCAAAACAAGGCCTAGGGCAATAATACTTTTGGAGGAAAACAACAGTTTACAAGGACACAAAAAGAAGCAAAGCTGTTCATCCTCAAAGATCCTTGTCACTTAGCTTGTGCTACAACCCACACACCCAAAATACCTGCAACAACTCAAAACCATCTAAGCACTTCAGAATGTGTTCTTTTAAACTTAAAAAAAAAAAATCATTGGTGTTAACAGGTGAATCTTTCTGAGTTTTGCTCCTTTAAGCATTAATGGTATTTCGTTCTTTGTTAAGAGGTTTTAATCTACTTGCATCACAGATGCTCCAATAAAACAAGCTGGTATGCAGATAACTGCACACCTGCTGGTAGCAGGCTCCCCTCTAGAGTGACAAGTCAGGAGTTCTGGATCCAAGCCTTACTGAGTACCTGTCACAATCTGTGGGCACTAAAAAGGCAATGCTGAGAAAAGATTAGTATACAGAGCCTAACTGCCATCAACAGACAAACCAACCAAACTGTCCCTCAACTAGTAGTCTGTGTTTTATTTGTGCAAAGAAATTGTATTAATTTAACACACACACCTTGTCAAAGTAAGAATAACACATCTGATCATTATGGGAACTTAAGTATTTAATTTCTTAAAATATAAGGGTGATCTCTAAGAGAACTCCTAAGTTGTGTGCGTGCAGCTCGGAATCTGTTCATTTTTGCCATACTAGAATCCAACAGCTCCATATGGAACATGGTGTTATTTACCTTCTCTGTACATTTTCACCACTGTGTTACAGCAAACTTCCAAAGGCAAGTACTAAGATACTAACAGTTGTGGGTTTTTAAATCCTGATGGTCATGATTTACAGGAAAACCTCCTGTGAGTAAGCCATTTTCAATGTACAAACTTCATAGAAAGATTAGCAAAGGCTGTAGTTCTGTGAAGAGCTGAGTCTCACAGCACTGAAAGGCCATCTCTCCATCTCTCACCCACCCTCTGATGCCTTCCCTATATTGCATTCAAACACTTGCCAGAGCCCTCTGAGTGTCAATATAGGTCATTAACCCAGAAAAAGTAGTAAATGCTTCTGCCAGGTTAGGAAGTTGAATCAGTGAGAAGTCTTGCATCACCTCTGCTGGATAAGAAAGGCCTCCCCCTTTCAGCAGTTCACTTTTTTCCCTAATGCAACTGCATTCTAAGCCCTGATGAGTTAAGGATATCCCTTTCTTGTTAGGGTTAAAATACAGAATCAAAATGCAACTTTATCAGATGAACTAACTGTACAGAGAACACATAATAGTTTTTGAACACAGGAGAGTCACATTTTTAAATTACTAGATTCTGTATGAAGTATGAAAACCTAACTATTTAAGACAGCTTAAAAGAGGAAAAAAAAGATTGAGTCATCAGTTTAACAAAGATGAAAAGAAAAATCGAAGACAGAGAAAATCAGAGGTGCAATGAGAGAAAATTTCTGAAGAAGCCTTCCTACCACAAATGCCACTCATAAGTTGAACACAACTTTCTTATCCTTAGATCCCTTCAAATGAGCCTTAGCCCACACAAAGTTTTGATCCTACAAGGAAATACAAGCAAGGAATTCTATGAAGCTCACTTTGCATGGATCTCGAATGAAAGACATTCTTTATTACGGCAAAGGACAGCAATATTAAACGGGAGAGGGGGCTGGAACCAGATTAAATTGGAAACAGATTTATTTCTTTTTTTGGTGAATTCTGATCTGTGAGGGGAGTCTTGTATACATTATTTCATACTCACAAAACTCACCAAAAAGCAAAAGCATACTAGTTGTATAGAAGGGCAAAACTCAAAAAACATTGTAAGTTTTTGTTATTCATCTTGTGTTATCTTGCAGTAGGTTCCAACTCTACCCTTCTTTTCTAGATATACCTGGAACTGGAATTGGGCTTTCTGTAAAAGGCAGAGAGTCCCTAAGGACTACCCATACGGTTGACAATCTTGGTCAGCTGAATTTGAGCATTACTGGACAGTTTCAGACATATACAGTCGGACCACATGTTGGCATTTTCTGCGACTTCATTATCTTTTTTCCTTCCAGTTAGAGGATGGGTACGAGCAGTATCTAAATGTCAAATTCCACATCTCTCTAATACTCCATATTAAACTTAATCTTCCCTATTAGCTTCTTACAGCATTTATAAGGGAATATAAATACCTTTTGCTCTGATTTCCCACTGGTTAGTAGCATTTCTGGGCTGCTGCTTATCTGAACAGAAAGTCCATCAAGCCAAAAGAATATTAAGTTTTTAAAAAATGCAGGCGTCTGAAGTACCACATCAACCTGATACAGAACAGACATATTCTTCCCATTAAAATAACACCATACCCATAAGAAAATGGCTTAGAAAGCACAACAACAGACGCTAAGGCTTTTATCTAGATCTTCAATGAGAAGATAAACTACATGTCAGAGTGTACACAGGTCTACTCTGACTTCCAGAGGAGAAGAGTGTCATCTTTAGGCTGACTAAATAATGGACCACAAATCATCAGCAGTTTTCTTCTTAAACAATACATGCTTTATAGTAAACCACTCTATTTTTTAAGATGGTTTCATTATTGCATTTTCACACTCCTTCTGCCAAAAACTATGTCAAACTCAGAAACACCGCTCAAGTTCAATGATGTAAACGTATTTCCTACTTGCAATCTGAAGGAAGCTCAAGTCTGCCTCCTGCAGCAGCAGCAATAGAATTAATGACCAAATTCTGACTGCAGGAATTTTATTGATGACAGCAAATAAATTTTCAGATCTTAGTTCTATACTATCATGGCTTGAAAATACATTTTTTGTCCTTAAACAGTGTTAGTGGTTATTAAATACAGCTGTCCAAATACAATATCCAGCTCTAGAATCATACAAACTGCTGTTAGTCACTTTGTGTGTGACCTATTTCTTTGAGATAAGTAAGTCCTGCCTCAGTAAAGTAACAAACTATCCCTTCCTAACCACCCACCATCACCACTTACAGAACACTGAACTATAAAGACCTATAATCTGATCCAGTAGTATAGTATTAAAGGAGAAACATTGTAATTTGAAATAAGGATTGGTAACGCTCTAAATCCACAATATTTATGTTTTGTGGGATTGCCTCTACTGCACTCAGTAGCAATATTGAAATGATAGGAAGATGCTTCCTCATCATATGTAAATAATATTGGCTGCTCATGGTTCTAAAATCATATTAATTGGACCTAAAAAGCCTCTGCAAATATTTTTCTTGTGAATATCACCTTCCAAGTCAGTATTAGACCACATCAAAGAAGAGGTAAAATTTATCACGTGCTTTGGTATCTGTTTTTCTTCTTTCAGAGCCTACGTTGCAAAACAGTTCCGAGGTAAGCCTACACGTGTCCTGCCTCTTGTTTTATCTCCTGAATCAGAAAAAAAAAAAAATAACCTTACAGAGGTGTTTTCAAACACTCATGGAAACTTTGGAGACTCAGGACAGCACTGCTTGCTTATTACCTGATCACGATCACCTGCAAAACAGCAGCTCTTCATAGTACACGAGTTGAAGTACCCTTGGTTGTCAAACTGGAAGACAGGCAGCCGGCAGTGGATGTCATAGAGGACCGGGGGAAGGCGCCGACGCAGTGCCAGCAGCTGGGTTCCATTGCTGTTGAACCGGACACTCATGGCACTCTGAAGGGAGAGGTTTCCACCGTAGCGGAGCAGCGAACTGGGAAAAGACAGAGGATACAAGTGAGATGGGCCATGCATATGAACTGAACTACTGAAAGACAGAACTCTCTCTTTTAACCTTACTGTGTCATTTCAAACAAACAAGCCCAGTAAACTATAATCGTATTTAGTTTCTGCTTCAAAGCATCAATTCATGAACAAACGTGATTCAAAACTTGAATGACAAACTATCAAAATGCTAAGACTATAAAGTCTTCAGAAGAGAAAAGTTAAAGAGTGCGAGTAGTTTTGTTAATAGCAAATACATTTTCTGCATAGGAGCAAAGTCTCACAGAGTAGCCTTACCCGTAAAAAGGCTATTCTTGTACTTCTGGGATGTCTGCATTTGAGACCTTACCAGCACTCAGCTCTTTTTGTTCAGCTGGTGCCTGAATCCAGCCAGCCCAAACTTTTTTTTTCCCTCTACTCTGGCACCAGGTGGCATTTTCTCCAATTGTACATACTCTGACCATTATCTCACTTCGTCTTCTATTTACATTTCTACAGGGCATCGGAGGATATTTGAACTGTACAATCAGTTCCAGCCGTCTTAAATAAAAGGCCAATAACTAGCAAGTTATTGCAAGAAATGCTAAAATAAGTCACTTAGCTAATCTCAAACTTGCTTCATCTAAAAATATTGCCAGGTAGGCAAGACAATCATGCTACCACGTGACACTATTACCTAAAACGCTCACATGGTTGAATTAGCTAGTTTCCTTGTCCCATATAAGGCTGTATGATCAGAGCTGGAGTATTTGTATCAGTTCTTACTGACATATACACAACAAAAAGGAAGGGTCACAAGTTTCCAAGTTCTCTCTTTAAAACAGTAACAGAATATGGAATCCAGGACCCTAAAGATAATCAAAGCATACCTGAAATTCAACTTGCATTGTACGGGCTTTCTGTTTTTTTCAAAGACTTAATTCAATCCCTGTACTTGAAATGACTGTGTGTATGGAAAGGGAGACAAAGAAGGAAAACATTTTATCCCTTTTTTGTCCAGTGATCACTGAAACCTCTTTAAGCAGTGCCAGAGCTCGACCTTTTGTTAACAGGTTTTGAGCAATCCCCATCAAATCTTGTTAAGACCTGTGACGTTTATGCACTTTCTGGACCAGACAAGGCATGCCAGCACAGAATTTGCAGATTCTAGAGGGAAGTTTATTCATGGATTTTAATGCATTACACATTCTGATGTAGCCCTCTGCCTCAACATTTGTGAAAAATGAGTCACTCCACATGGATGGGAAGCCACATTCCATGCAGGTTGAAGCACGCATCATTACATGAGATACTGTAAAGTTAAAAAACTATTGTTCCTAAGCCAGAGTTAAACAAAACCAAAAACAAAATAGAAGACTCCATATAATGAATGCACTAGAAATACGCTGTCCTCACACACACACACACTTTGTGAACTGAACAGTCAAAGCCAGGGTGCCACAAAGGAACCAGAAGTCACATTTTCAAAGCCTACTAGCGAGAGCTTCAAGCTGGGCCCCGAAACTTCTGAACATCTGTATCGGGATGAAGAGTCCTGCTCTCTCACATGTGTGTGCATTCTCCCCCTCTTAGGCAAAGCCGCTGAGCTTCTCTTAATAGCGCTTATGGTTTTTAATAAAAACATGAGAAAATTTAATACTAGAAACTGTAATCTTAGAGACAAGATCCCCCTCATCAGTCCTGGTTTCTGTTCATCAAGATCAATAAAGTACTCAGCCAGCTCAAAATACTCAGTCAGGCATTAAAAACAAAACAAAACTAACCCCAAAACACACGTGACTTTTCCCCCCTCTCCCCCTCTCCTGATAGGTTTGTGTAAGCCAAAAATTTTTTCTATGGAAGTTTCCACTTCCTTAAAAAAAAAAGGAAAAAACCACACCACAAAAATTAAACAAAAAAAACCCCCAAAACAAAACCCAACCAAAACCTCAACCTAAAAAACACGCAGAAGAAATAAACCCAGATTTTTTTGACTAAGAAAGGTCAATATTTCTATAAAAATATTCAAGTTCTCCACCATGGATAGGAACACCATAATATATATGCACCAACCAGACTTAATGTTAAGGTGCAGCCACTGCTGCACCAAGACTAAGCCCCTCTCCTCATTACCAGTTGTCCCCCTCAATCTAAACCGCAACCCGGAATTCTCTCCTGCCTACAAGTGAGTGAGCCTACCAGACGCCCCATCCTTTCAAAACTTCAAGCAAAGTTTCCATGGTTGCTATTATTATGCCCTGCCTGAAATATCTTGAGATTATATTTTATAGTAACTGTAGTATAATATTAAATTAGCTTCCATTCTGCTTACAGAGGTTTTTATTAAGCTCCTATAGCAGTCAAAGCTATCAAAGAAAACACCTCTTGGAGTTGAATTCTGCATTGTGTTTCAGTAACTTTAATGTAACAAAGCTCTAAAAGAATATTTTACTTCAGAAATTAAATGAAGTAAGAAAGGCTAGAACTTCAGAAATTATGATCATATACACACATAAGAAGTCTGGAATTAAGGAGCTACATAGTTAAGACCCCTCAAAAGATCCACAGCTTTGCCTACCTCATACCCTTACTCCACACAATTCAGCTACACATGTAATGGAAACACAGTTTGTGTTGCAATTCCCTGAATATTTGGCTCAAAGGAAAAAGGAAAAAAAAAAACAAACCAAATCCCCCCCAAAAAACAAACCCCACACTAATAAAAGAGGCAGTGGGCTAAGTTTGGTTGATAGAGAAAGAAATGCTAAAACAGCCATTTGCCATTCATATATAAGAGCGACATGCTGATGACTTTCCCCACTTGCCTGAATTCTGTCCCCAAAAATCAGACTCTATAGCTCCAAGTGCAGCACTTTGCTGCACTAATCGCAAGACAGTGGTTTTCTGTTTTCCTCACCCTACTTGCTTCCTCTCTGCCTCTTTGAAAGGGTTTGTTAAATTAACTGCATAGTGTTTTCATCTAACAAGCTATGAAAAGAGGCAGCAGGTAGTTAGGTGGGGATGGAGAGAGACAAACTGACACTAAACCCCCCCAAACATTCATTTCTTGACCCAAACAGAGGAGAAAGATTTGCTCTCTCTCTACTCCTACAAGAGAACATCTGAGAGATATGGTCAGAAATATGATGGGGGTGGGTATGGACGGAGTGCAGCTCATGGCTCCATCTTGGTGGAAAAGCTAGGAACCCAGCTCACAAACAGAGGACATAAAGGACATATAGAAATCTCTTTTCCTCTGCCTCCTACTGCAGGCAGTACACATGGTAGCAGTATTTAGAACTGAGGAACCTCAAGACTTCAGTATCTTCCTTTATAAAATTTAGTTGATTATAGAACAACCATGCTGGCTTTAGGAAAAGAATAATAATTGCCCAAGATGTCTTTTAGAGTATTCCATCTCCACCAAAATTGCAGGAAAAAAGCAGTCAGCCATCTCCAAGAAAGAAGCTGGGGAACGTTATGTTACTTTTTACAGTATTAAACCAGTACTAATACTCATTAGTACTAAAGAGGATGTCTCAATCAAGAAGCTCTAAAGATCTTCAAACTAATCAGAACCAGAGCTTTTGCTCTTTTTCTTTTTTTGGGGTGGGGAGGGAAAAGGAAGGAAGGGGAGAGCTGTGTTTAAGCACGTTCAGTGTTCAAATTACTATCTCCACTTTCCCGGTTGCATCATGGTGCTGCTCTTTACCTATAGCCAGTGCTACTTTTGGATTTTTTCACACAGGATTACGTGGAGCAGTGTAGCATGTCTACACTTGGATATGTTACTCACGTTAGAACTGCCACTTCTGCCTGATCCTTATTGCATGCTCCAGCAAAGGAATTTCAGAGGCAACACCTTCCTGCAGTTACTAAAAAGTTTACTGATGCATCAGACTAAAAGCAATACTCTCCTCTCGAAGACACGGACCATCACAGCTAGTGAGAAATCTGAAGACAGTCCTAAAAGAGCACCTCTGAACAAGATGGGTGCCCTTTCTGCCAGAGGCATTATCTTTATGAATCCAGACCAGACTACTCTGGGATTTAGTCTGCTTCCAAATTTGGCTCACCCAGCCAGCCGTGGAATGCTGATGTTGCCTACCAGCTCTGGAAGCAATATAGAGAGAGAGACATGCACTGCTGAGTTTTTAAAAAAGTCATCTTGTATGATTAAGAGAAATATTTAGCCCACAGATGGAATATTACAATCCAAACACACATGCTGGAGCTGGAGGGAGGCTGAGGAGGGAGAGAATGGACAGTTCTGTGCAATATGGTCATTTCTGTAGTTGGATATGCTGCACACAGGCAGCACTCAAGTGTTAACTAAATACCAGCTCAGCCAAACAATGGAAGGCTTTCAATCCAAGAGTAGCACCACTAACGTAAATAAATCCGTTTCTACTGGCAGCTAGTAGGGTGAGGGAAGAAGTAGTCTTCACTGCACTCAGAATTTGCAGGAAAAGTCTGTACCTGAAACAAGCATTTCCCTCTCCTCCTCTCTCCCCTTTTCTAAACAAAGAAGTTGTTTCCTGCTTTTTTGAAAAGTCGACTGCCTGAGTGGGAACATAAGCTTAACCCAGGCTATTCAAAAATTAGCTTGGCAACAGACAGTGGCCATTAAAACTGAGAGAAGATCAGTGTCTTGGTAGAAATAAAATAAAAGCAGCATGCATGACAGCATTAAATAGAACCATTAAATAAAACCATTGAATAGCTTCTCTTGATAAGCTACAAATCTGACAGTGAACTGCAGTAGAGACACTGTCCTTGGGAAATGAGTGTCATTTAAGAGGGAGAAGGAAGGAAGGAAGGAAGGGAGAAAGTGTTGATATCATAAACAGCAGTGTGTGAAACTAACTTAATGAAAGAATGACCTTAAAAGGAAAAAATGAATTGAATGCTCGTAACTAATACACACCATTGCATACAACTGTGTTTGTCAGCATTTCTGTAACCACAAAATTGAGGAACTTCTAACTGTGCAAAAAGAACTGGAATGAA